ACCTGGTTATCAAGGACAATTATCAAGGTGGCTCTACAGTTCAAGTGGGCAATGGACAAACAATTTCAGTCTCCTAAACAGGTGTGTCTTTTCTCAACTCACAAAATTCTCCTAGGATCTTGCATCTCAAGAATGTGTTGTGTGTACCACATATAGCAAAAAATTGATTAAGTATATCACAAATTACTAAAGACAATGGAGTTATTGTTGAATTTCACTCTGATCATTGTCTTGTAAAGGATAAGTGCATTTAAGAGGTACTGTTGCAAGGCTTCTTGAATGATGGTCTGTATCAGCTAAAAGGTTCTTGCTCATCTGTGGCCTCGTCTATTGGAGGTGCTGGTTCTAAAGCTTTCAGTCATGTTGCTGCTGTCACCAATACAAGTACTAGTAGTAGTAGTAGTGATGATAAGACATGTCACGTTCCTGATTTTTTCAGTTTTACACCAACAGTTAGTAACTCAAATAAAAAGAGTGTATCTCCAATAAGCAAGTATGATGTACTGTTGACAGCATTATGGCATGCTCGGTTGGGGCATCCACAAGTTAAAACTCTCAAGGATATTATGAATAAAATTCATATACATGGTTGTTTTGATAATAAAATGTTTTGTGAAGCATGTCAATTCGGCAAAATGTCACAAACTTCTTTTCCCATTTCTGCATCCAAATCCACAAGACCTCTTGAGTTGGTGTATTCAGATTTATGGGGACCTGCTCCAATTTGCTCTTCCGAAGGTTTTAAATATTATATATTATTTGTGGATGACTATAGTAGATACATGTGGATATATCCACTTAAGCTTAAATCTGAGGCATTCAAAGTTTTTACACATTTCCATAAGTATGTTGAGAATCAGTCGGATGCTAAACTCAAGACTCTGCAAACTGACTGGGGAGGTGAATTCAGGTCTTTTACTAAATATTTAAAAGAGCATGGCATTGGTTTTAGACATCCATGTCCTTATCTACACTAGTAGAATGGTAGAGTTGAAAGGCGGCATAGAACAATCACCGAATTTGGATTGACACTGCTAGCACATGCTAGTATGCCTTTGTGTTTTTGGTGGCAGGCCTTCTGTATAGTCGTATACATTGTTAACAAACTCCCTTCATCTATTCTTCAGGATATCTCTCCTTACCAACAATTGTTTCAGCAAGAACCAAAGTACAGTGAGCTAAAGGTATTTGCTGTTCATGTTACCCTCACATCAGACCATACCAGAAGCAGAAATTCTCTTATCACATTGAAAAGTGTGTCTCTATAGGTTATAGTCTTGCACATAAAGGGTATAAGTGCCTTTCCTCCACAAGAAAGGTTTACATAGTGAAACAAGCAAAGTTTGATGAGACTGTTTTTCCATTTAAGCTTGGTTTCAAATGTTACCTCATTAAGGATGAAACTGCAGGAGGGCTTAATTCTCAGACGAATATAGATAGCTTTTTGTCCTTATGGAATCTTGGTCATTGCTTGAACAAAAGTAATGTTTCTTCTATTACTATGGCAGCATCGTCTGACACTACTGCTGCAGTCCAAACTGTTACTCCTTTTAGTTATACAGCAGATGTTCCTGATCATTCATCAATACCTTTAAGCTCACCATATGACATCGCTACTGATGCAGTTCAAATAAATTTGTCTAAAACTACTGGTGCAGTTCAGCCTATTCCTCTACAGCAGATGTTCATGGTAATTCATCACTGTTTTTAAGCTCACCTGATGATACAGCTACTGATGTAGTTCAAACAAATGTGTATGGAGCTACTGATGTAGTTCAGACTACTCCAGGATCAGTAATCTTGGATTCTACTACTATCTCTCCATCAGAAGAACCTTCTGTTTTCATTAATCAACTGGAACCTTCTTTCAATCAGCATCATAATACACATCCAATGCTTACTAGGTCAAAAACCCAGACCTTTTCGAAGCCTGCTAAGTTACAATCTCAGGGCTGTTCTAGATGTGCATATCTCTCTACTTTATCCGTTCTAGCTGAACCAAAAACTGTCTCAAAAGCTCTTCTAATTCCAAAGTGGAAGGTAGCAATGAATGATGAGTTTTCAGCATTGGTGCGAAACAAAACCTGGGAATTAGTTCCTTTCTCTTCCAATATGCATGTTGTAGGATGCAAATGGGTTTTTAAAACCAAGCTGAAGTCTGATGGTACTCTTCAAAAATACAAGGCACGATTAGTGGCTAAAGGCTTTCAACAAACCCCAAGTTTGGATTATTTTGACACATTTTCTCCAGTTATTAAACTTGCCACTATAAGGATCATATTCTCACTTGCTGTTCATAATAGTTGGGATATCCAACAAATTGACTTTAACAATGCATTTTTTAATGGAGATCTCATAGAGACTATGTTCATGTTTCAACCTGAAGGTTTTACTGATCTTCAACACCCCAAACATGTTTGTAAACTCAACAAGGCCCTCTATGGCCTAAAACAGGTGCCAAGAGCCTAGTTTGACAAGTTAAAGGCGGCTCTTACTGATTGGGGTTTTCTTGGTTCAGTTTCTGACACCAGCCTATTTTTCTTTAAAAAAAAGTCTCACATAGTGTATTTACTAGTGTATGTGGACGATATTCTCATTACTGGGAATGATTCTGCATTGATTACTCAAATAGTTACAGATTTAAATAACAAGTTTTCTTTGAAGACTCTAAGGTCTGTCAACTATTTTCTTGGCTTTGAAGTGCAAAGAGACAAGTCAGGTTTGCTGCTTTCTCAATCAAAATATGCTCTTGATCTATTGAACAAAGCTGGAATGGCAGAATGTAAGCCCTGCAATACACCTATGGCCACTGGTACAAAACTGATGAAAGAAGACAGTGAAGCTTTCGATCAGCCCTCTCTTTATCAAACTCTTGTGGGAGGTCTTCAATACTTGACCTTGTCTAGACCTGATATGTCCTTTGCAGTGAACAGATTGAGTCAATTTTTACAGTCTCCTACTACAAATCACTAGACTGCTTGCAAGCGAGTAATTTAATACATTAAAGGCACCCTACAACATGGTTTACTCTTCCAAAAACATCATAATTTTGCCCTGGAAGGCTATGCTGATGCTGACTGGGAAGGTGATGTTGGTGATAAGCGATCCACAACAAGGTATAGCATATTTCTTGGTGGCAACTTAGTACAATGGGTGTCTAGAAAATAGAAACTGGTGTCTCTTTCTTTAACAGAGGCTGAGTATCAGGCTCTTAGTCAAGCAGCCACTGAACTTGTTTGGATCCAAAATCTGTTCCAAGAACTTGGCATTCAAATCAAGAGTATTCCAATTTTGTGGTGTGACAGTGTAAGTGCAGGAGCACTATCTTCTAACCCTGTTTTCCATGCTAGGATAAAACATATTGAGATTGATGTCCATTATGTGAGAGAACTGATTTTTGATAAGAAACTTGCTGTTCAATATGTTTCCTCTGAATTTCAAAATGCAGATGTATTAACAAAGGCACTTCCTGCTTACAGGTTTCAAGTTCTTAAAGAAAAGCTTACTGTTATGTCTTCTTTGCCAACGTTAGTTGCTACAATCAAAGACTACTTAAGTCTTGTGCAAACTAAAGTCAATATGTTGCAGAAAGTTGTGTTTTCAGAGGAAGATAGTGTGTTTACGAGGAAATGTTGAGTAGGAATAATGTTAAAGCATGGTAGAAGTGAAGATGAGTTTAGAGAGGAAGATAGTGTAGTTTACGGGGAAATATTGTGAAGGAAGAATGATAAAGAATAGAAGGAGTGTTCTGTTTACCGGGAAATGTTAAGAAGAATGTCAAAGTATGCTAGGTTATTTTGCAAAGATTAGAAGTTAGATGGCTTTAATTTCAATTAAGCAAAATGTAATACACTGTCGTTTTATACAGTGTAACAAACTATAAATATGTTTGTTTTCTGTTAAAGACTTAGTTAATAAAAATTAATGAATTCCAGAGTGTTCATCTTTCTTCTCAGCTCTATATTTCGTTCTTCTTGATTTCTTTAATTTTCTTGATTCTTCATCTCAATATTGAATTTCTACACAAATAAAGCACAAGAATTTTGGTCAAGTTAAATTTCCCAGAAAAATCAAACAAGAATATTGGGAGATTTGAGCATCACATAAATTGAACTTAGTCAAGCATTTTTATTAGAAGAAGAAGATTTTTTTAATAATTAATTAAAGACGACAGTTGCATGAAGCATATGTATGCCGCCGCACGGTGTTTGTTTTGTCTATATATGCTTCATTTTATTATTCTGTAAATTACTCTTTTAAATATATTATAACTGAATCCAAAATGAAATACGGAATTTTAATTCTAAGATCATGAAAGTTAAACAGCGCCAACTATTTGCCACCCATGCACACGTCATTGGATAAATTAATAAAAAGATTTGTATAATGTTATACAAAGAAGTTAGGACGTCAGTCCATTTCATATGGTCAATTACCATCACTTTCGTTTTTCAATATCATCCTTATCTGTACGTTAATTCGTAATTATTGATTGATTACTATACTCATTCTTGCAATTCGATTGAGCTTTGATCAATACTTACTAGCCGCTGCAATTCGATAATCATCTGGTCCTTAATAGTCTACTACTGTTTACAATCATCAATTAACCAAGAAATTCTTATTGGATTTTCTTGCAACTTTCTTTGTGTTGGTTAAACAAATGAATCAATAAAGAGTATTGACCTCAATTCTCATTATTATTATTTTAAGAAGCTCTTCCAAAATCTGTTACCTTAGGTTTCATCTTTTTTGTCTATAACTTTTACTTCAAGTAAACCAGTACTTCTACTCTTTGCCTTTGTATAAAACTTTTGGTTTAAGTAAACCACTTCTAATTACTTGTTTTGTTTGCCTTCGTGATTTTTACAGTTGTTTTTAAACATTAATTTATTTGAATAAAATTTAAGGCAAATAAGAGTTTAACGAAATCTTACGTACTAATTATTTTATTATTGTTAAACAACTTGGAGCTGTAGATTTCAACGACAGTCCAACAGAAAAGCTATGCTACACCACAGACAAGAGTAGAACTACTAAACAAGTATTATATTATTAAAATGTTTCTAAATATTTAACTTTCATCTAGCGCTATAACCCCGGTTCCTAGGATGCCATTGCTTCAGGTCATGGGAGCTACATGTAGCCACGCAAGCTTCCTCTATTGAGCCTTGTGAGACGCCACTGTTACATACGTTGGCAAATGCCCTTATGTGTTTCATTCCATATTGAGTTAGTGATCCACAGTGACTTTCAAATACACGAACCTGATTAAATTAACACAACAACCGCTTCAATTATTCCATATACTAAATGAATCATAATCAAGAAAACAGACTGAAAATTACCATTGATTTCAAGCATTGCCAATCATCAACAAGAGGCAAACCAGGTGCTCTAACTGAATTAATGATTCCACCACTTCTTTTTGGTCCATATAGAAGCACTCCAATCATTTCAATGCTCCCCTCTAAGTGATTCCTGTGCCTCATTGTCTCTGTAATCTGCTCCAGTATTTGTGATTTCTTCCCTAATCCATCTGCTTTTTTGTACTACAAAGTAAACAAATTCATGCTGTCATCAAACAATTAAGCAAGAAACAACTTCAATTGCATGAAAAAAGCAAGTCGATCGCACCATATGCCACATAAAGAGAAGATCAGCATCTCTTTGGTTCACAACTCCCATTTGAGTATCACTCCGAAGTTCATTTGGAGGGAAGTTCTCTGTGGCAGGATCGAAACCTTGATATAGATAAAGCTTCTCTGTTATGATGCTTGTGTTCCCATATTGCATCACATGGGATCCAGCACTGTAAGTATTGAAATTGGAAGTCCTTTCCTTGACCTGCATGAAAGGTAATGTTTCCATTTCCCATTGTGGGTTTGAACTCAGAACTACATAGAAGATTCTGAATTTTGTTCATCTTACCATGTCATACTGTTGCTTTATGGTTTCTCTTTTCAAATTGTGGGTCTCACTGCACAAAATAACGATTTTAGCTTAGTAAAAAGAGGTCACAATGAACATGTCAGCGTATGCCGGTGAGTATAACACAAGATTTTATTTCCTTTAATCAAAACTGAGAATTGTGTTTAATAATGATATCATTTTTTTTTTTTTTTTTAATTTCAAGGAACGACAAGGATACCTATCCTCCATCCAAGCAACACTGTACAAATCCCCTAAGCAAGTGATGTACTCTGCAGGTGGAGAAGGATCCATTCCAGGGCAATAAGTCCCGAAACTGCTCTCTTGTGCATTTGATGCTGTTGTGACATAAATGTCTAGATCTTTGGGCATTATGCCTTCAAAAATGCTTCCACTCTCACATGCTTCTATGTATAGAACCTGTGTGCATGGTAAAAATCTGTCAATAATTATATATTTTATCTTATCACTAATCTTCTAAAGTGAGCACAATGTTTGTACCATCTCTTTGTAGCCCTTTGAAGCATGTTTCTTCTTCAAGACCTCAATGAATTCCATTGCATACAGAAAAGGCATGTTTGGCATCCCTGCAATCACAACCAGAAAATAAATGAGCTATAATGGCTCTCTAATTTTTCGAAGTTACTTGCTTATCCTTCTTTGGATTATCTTCCTCAATTTAGATTGGAAATGAGAACTCAATCAAACTTTTAGTGGGGAACATCATCGGTAATGATGTAGCTAAAATACGATTTTATTTCTTCACAGGGTATTTTGGCTATATTTGGAGAGTGATTGAAAAGATAGGTTAAAGTTGAGATATACCGAGAACTCCAGGACCTCCATGATCTGAGTAGTAAAGAAAGATCCTGTCATCTGGCTTGCTATTCACGACTTTCCCACTGCCACCTTTCACAGCACTCTTGTTACCAAGAAGTACTGCATACAAATTCTCAGTTGTTACACGCTCGCCAGTGTAATCCTATAATAATCATCAACATTGACGATTTAGTTCGGTGAAATGAACTATAAAATCGAGTGATTTGAAAGAAAAAAGTAAAAATAAATAGCTTCAACGTTTCATTCCATATTACGGTTTCATCAACTTAATTCGTTAGTACAGTTAGATTTTTCAATAATAAATTCGATTCGGTAACCGAAATGCATTATAAAGAGATTTTTATAGGTATTGACTTGTTGAAGCCTGAAGGGATATATATTGACAAGGGAACACTAACATTTTGCCAAGTGTAACATACTCATCCATATGAAACATACTGTTTATAGGGAATATTGAAAATGGAAACTTTGTACAAGTATTCAAACCTTTAACCAAATTTTGAACTCCTAATCGGCGGATATAAACCATCCATATAATAGCTAACCCATAGATTTATTTTTGTAAAGTGGAAACCATTAGGTGTCATAAAGTTGAAAACAACTTAAATATGTATTAAATTGTTATAGAATCACGAGGAATCATATGAATATTACACCTGGAATGAATGATTACACGCCTGGACTAACAACAATTAATGGGTTTATCTTATTGAAATTAATGCACAACAGTGCTATATCACTATCAATATGTGACACCAGAGTCAAAAAAGCATCCACCGTCTCACAACACAACACTTTATATCATCATAAACATTACCTTAGGCACACCAGTATAAACATTTTCACCTTGTGGATGGTTGATGATAACACCAGGCCTTGGATTGAGCTCATTCATAGCAATGTCATCATACATAAACACCACTATGTTCTCTTCCTTCAATCCTCCTTTTCTTAGCAATTGATATGCATGACAAACATCCGCCTGTATAATACATATAACAACTTCTCCGTTACTTGTTACCCAAAACACAAAACTAGCCAGTTTAATCACTATAGTTAAAGTTCTCACCTGATGCCTATAATTTCCGTACCCAGATGATCCAGCAACTAGAACAGCCCATCTTGTTCCAACTTCCTCCGCCGGTTCTTCTTTCTCTGTTGGCAACTTTATGATTGCTGACTCCCTTTGGTTCAACCGACCACCTTCACCACCTCCAAAAACTGCTAAAACTAAGAAAAATAATAAAAAACGATGGGTTGCCATAGAGACTGAACCGATTTGAGAAAATCAGTGATGGTGAAGAAACAGAAGTATAGGTAGAGAAAGGGAGAGATAGCTTAAAAGAGAAATGTTAGGGCTTAAGTGGAGGTGTTGAAACTTTGCATATGTTAAGGCTTAAGTGGAGGTGTTAAACTTTGTAAAGATGTCATGCAAAAGAAGGGATTGACACGTTTGAACCACTTAGAAAAGTGGGTCCAAATGTCTTCTACTGTCGACAACTGGGTGTTTACTTAACTTTACTCATGGGAATCTGTGCTAGCTACTAGTTGATTGTTTTGAGCACTGGTTGCTTAGGATGCTTGTCTATAGTAAGCCACCAATTCCGTGAGCAAAGGTTGGTATTCTTTTATGTTTTCTGTTTCCTACTTCTGAGTGTTATAGCGTTCTGTGAGATTGATGTATGATATAGTATGAGCTAGGCCATCGGCTGTCTCATTGATGATTTTTATTGCGTTTGTAAAGATCAAATCATCGCTTGTTCCTTGTCCGTTACTTCGTGATTGTCCATTATTGATAACTAGTGAGGCTGATGGCCCAAATGGGCCGAGACTAAGAGCGTACATCCTTATTTGTAATCAGTGAGGCTTATGGCCAAATGGGCCAAGACTATCAGCATTTTGCTTGAAAACTTGTCAAGCGTGTTCTAAACTGGGGGGTGTTTATCTGAGCTTATGAAAATTAGCTTATAAGCTTTTGAAATTTTAAGCAATTACGTATTTGGTTAAAGTACTTATAAGTGACTAATAAATAGTTGACGTATTTGGTAAAATGTGGCTTATAAATATATTTTATTATAAAATGACTAAAAAATATACTATATTAAACAAAACAATACTATAGAATTTTAAAATTAAACAAGGATAATATGGTAATATATTTGGTCAAACTAGCTTATAAGAAAAAAAAAAAATACCTCCCCCAAATTATTATTATTATTATTATTATTTTTTTATAAACTGAAAAAAGTTATAAACAAAATGATCAGCTTAATTTTAGAGCTTATAAGCTAGTTTAACCTTATAAGCTTAGACTAAGCTTAAACAAACTCAATGCTAGTCATGTGAATTTTGCACGATGGATAACAGCTAAAGGACAAAAAACTTCATATAAGTGTAAGAAATATTCGTGTAACCCATTAATCATGAAACAACAGGTGACTGATTTGTATAGAAGAAGACTTTTCTTAGACCCTCCATAGAATTTCAGATAGTTAAACACAAAAGCTTCTTGCAAATGCAAATCACCAGAAGTATCAAAAACTAAAAGGTCTTCATAAACTGGAATGTACTACATTCCACCAAAACTCAAGAAGAGAAAAAATAAAAAATAAAAAAAATAAAAGGCTGAAATGCAATCCCTTCACAAAGACACTTTTTCCTGTATATCAAGCCACAAGTTGTTAGCCGTCCCAGAGAGTGAATTAAATAAACCACATGTCTATGCCTACTCAGCCTAACGGTTCTGGTGCATCACTAATATTTCACTCTCTTATTAAAAAAATTGCAATCAGCATTATTCTTCACAGCTCCTGAACCACTAAGAATGTGAAGACTTGTACTAAAAAACAGACCCTCTTAACCTCCAGTTCATATCTGAGGAAAATCACCCACTAATGAAAATTTTCAGTATCTCCCCATCAACGAATACCACTTCAGTTCCAATTGGTACCACAGTGGAGAAACACCCAGAACTCCTTGTGCTAACCTTGGATCAAACACATCAAAATGTACCCGACGCAAGGAATCCAAAAGAACTTTGGGCAGGCACAGCCCCCAAAAGAACTTTGCTAGCTTCATCAGGCACGCACTATGGTGATGTGGCTTATTATTTGCCACAGTGGAGTCAACTTTAATATAAGAAGTCAACGAGAGCTATGCAACACCCTTTTGATAAAGGAACACTTACATTTCATGTCCTTTGATCCGTATCTCTTGCAAAACTCTCATTCTCTCTTATCCACCTCGATTGTAGCATGGGTATGAAGAAGATTCGAGGTCATTGTTCATCTCACGGTTGTGGGCAAATCCAATAAAGGTGGAGGCTAATCTTGAGAGGGGTCTTGGCATTTATAATTATGTTGGCTGATGAAGAAGATATAGTTTTCATAGAGGAGTGTAGGATATTCTAATCCGGTGTGTTCCTTCCTTGTTTTCTTCTCTGTGTTAAAATTCTTTGTACATCTTGGCACTATGATTAAAGATATTCTATTTTAAGCCTTGGAGAGTGGATGTAGGTTGCAAAGCCGAACCACTATAAATCTATTGTGTCTCTTACCTTTTGCTCTTTCATTTTGATTTATATGCTTTGAGTGATTTGGGTTAGATTATTCTAATTTCAGATCTGATTTGTCAATTTCATTCCATTATTAAGCCATTTTTTATAATGCTATAAACCCTAGAATCTTAACAAATTGGTATCAGAGCTAGTTTAGGGCTTCGTTAGGGTTTTACTGAGTTGTCCTTGATTCAGCTTATTTTGGGAGTCTATCACTCGATTGTTGTTATTTAACAATGCAATTTTTGTTTTTCGAACCTTTTGAAAAACATGTCCGCTAAGTCTGAACTGGAAAAGTTTAGAAGGTAAAATGACTTTGGTCTATAGAAAATGAAGATGGAAGCAATGCTGATAAAGGAAGGTCTGGCTTTAGCGTTAAAAGAAAAGACTGAACTGCCTAAGACCATGACAAAGTCTGAGAAGCAGGATATGCTGAATAAAGCCAAAAACTCCTTGATCCTTGGACTTGGTGACAAAGTCCTTCAGGAGGTTAAGAAGGAGAAGACAGCTGCTGAAATCTGCAATGGGTTAGATTCTCTCTATCAATATAAGACTATTCCTAATAGGTTGTTTTTAAAGTAGAGGTTGTTTGGTTTTAAAATGGATGAGAAGAAATCACTGAAAGACAACAAAGATGAATTTCTAAAAATAATTCAGGATGTAGAAAGTATTTCTATAGAGGTTGATGATGAGGATCAGATAGTTATCCTATTAAACTCAGTACCAAAATCATACTCTAATTTTGTGGAAACCTTGAAATATGGTAGACAAACACTGAAGTTAGAGGAGGTGGTAGAGGCTATTTTAGCCAAGGATATTGAAAATAGGATGAGAGATAAGCATAGCAGTGATGGAGAGGGTCTTATTGTTAGAAGGAGATCAGAGAAGAAAAATTGGAAAAATGGAGGACAAACTAGAAATAGGTCAAAACCCAAAATAAGGAAATGAAAATGTTTCTTTTGTCAAAAGGAGGGTTACTTTAGGAGAGATTGTCCCGAGAGAAAGAACAAAAAGAAATATGAAAAAGAGGGTGAATGAGGTAGTGTTGGGGTAGTAGTTAAAGGATATGAAAGCTCAGAGGTCTTAGTTATTTCTGAGGGCAGAATTGGTGAATAGTGGATCTTAGACACTGGTTGTACTTATCACATGACACCAAACAAGGAGTGGTTTAGCTCATTTCAACCCTTAGATGGTGGGAAAGTTATGATAGGATATAATGTTGTCTGTCATATTAAGGAAATAGGTACTGTTAGGCTGGATCTTCATAATGGTTTAACTAAAACACTCATTGATGAAAGGTATATCCCTGACCTTAAGAGAAACCTAATCTTACTTGGCACATTAGACTCAATAGGCTTAAGTTATAAGGCTGCAAATGGTAGTCTTAGTGTGATGAAAGGATCCCTAATAGTTATGAAAGCTGAAAATAAAAATGGGTTATATGTGTTAAAGGGTAGGACAGATAGTGGGGTTGCTGTTGTAGGGTCAACAGAAGTTCAAGATAAAACTTCATTGTGGCATCAAAGGCTTGCACATGTTAGTGAAAAGGGCATAGGAGAGTTGTTGTAGGGTCAACAGAAGTTCAAGATAAAACTTCATTATGGCATCAAAGGCTTGCACATGTTAGTGAAAAGGGCATAGAAGAGTTATGTAAGCAAAATTTGTTGTGTGGGGATAAAACTAGGAGTCTGACTTTCTGTGAACATTGTGTTTTTGGAAAAATGAGTAGAGTTAAGTTCAGATTTGGTTAGCATTACTCAAGTTCACCACTTGACTATGTTCACTCAAATGTTTGGGGGACATCCAGACATTACTCTCACCAGGGGGGTGTAGATATTTTATCAGCTTTGTTAATGATTTTTCTAGACATGTGGGGATTTACTTCCTTAAAATCAAGGGTGAGGCATTCTTTAGATTTGAGGAATGGAAAATCATTGTAGAAACACAAACTGGAAAGAAGTTGAAGAAACTTAGGACTGATAATGGTTTGGAGTTTGCAAATGAGGAATTCAACAATTTTTGTAAGACTCATGGGATTGTGAGACACAAAATAGTAAGGTACACCCCACAGCACAATGGTCTCTGTGAAAGAATAAATAGAATCATTTTAGAGAATGTTAGAAGTATCTTGTCCTGTTCTAAGTTATCAATCAAGTTTTGGGTAGAAGCAGCACACACAATAGTCTACATGATAAATTGAACACGATCCTTAGCAATAGGTTTTAAAGTTCCTTTGGAGAAATGGACTGGTTATCCTGTGAACCTCGGAAATCTTAGAGTTTTTGGGTGTTTAGCTTATGTCCATGTTAGAGAAGATAAGTTAAAACCTAAAGCTATCAAATGCATATTCCTTGAATACCCAGATGGGGCAAAGGGTTATAAATTATGGAATTTAGAATCTAAGAAATGCATTGTAAGTAAGGATGTTTTTTTTAGAGAAGATGTTCTACCTAGTCTAGAAAAGGAGTCTGAAAAATCAGAGGAGAACTCTTTGGGATTAGCTCATCTAGAGTTGGAAGTTCAAAACTCAAAAACTGCCTATACCCTGAATCAAGGTGGAGCTAATAACAATGAGATGTAAGGTGAGGAAGAGAATCCTGAAATCTTGAGGGTGATCAAACTGGTGAGCATCAGGTGGAACAAGTGAACCATGATGATGATGAGTTAGACTTGATAGATTACCAATTGTTAAGGGATAGGGTTAGGGTTAGAAGAGTAATCAGACCTTAACAGATTAGGATATGTTGATCTGGTTGCTTATGCTTTACAAGTTGAACAAGAAATGAGTGATGAACCTAAGACCTTTCAAGAAGCTATTTTGAGATCTAAAAAATTGCAATGG